AAATAACTATTATATTACAAATTTTTGCTATTATTAATTCAATTCATTTATTTCGGTATTATTTCTATAATACTTCGATTATTTCGGTAACATTTCTATATTATGAAATTATTTCCATTTTTCAATAATTAAAATGTACTTTTCTAGTTTTTTCTTTTTTTTTTAATTATTGAAATTAGTTGAAAGTTTAACACAACACATTCATTATTTTTTTTTTTTTTTTTTTTTTCTAACAAAGCAAGCAATGGATGTCATTTGTCGAATAATCGTTATGAATGTCATCTGTCGCATAATCGATCCTTTTCATTAAATTGTCAAATTTTTATGTAAAATAAAAATTATAGTTATCTTTGTTTATTTATCTTATTTATTTATTCATTTGTATATTTGTTTATTTGTTAATTAATAATGTTAATTAATAGTTTATTCGTTAATTAACAAGTTAATTAATAATTTATTAATTACAATTGATAATAATGTGGGGAAATTTGTTAATTAATTAATTATAATTGATAATAATGTGGGAAAATTTATCAAATGATAATGATTAATGGATTGTATTGCACTGATAACATTCATCTTACTCATCCTTTTTTGTTCAACTTTCTTATCATTGTTGCTTAGATTGTTTAACCTTCTTTTTTTTGACTATAAATTGGAAAAGTATCATTTATAATAGCTATTTCACACTTTGTTTCCTTCATACATATATCATTTTACTAGCATTAATTAAACTGTTTTTTCTTTTTTGCTTAATTCGAGATTAAATAAATTGTAAAAGTTATGAATTAATTTATTGGCATGTTCTATTATTGTTTAGATTGTTTAGCTTCTTTTTTTTTTTAGAATTGCAAATTTAAAAAAGAATTTTGAGTTTAATCAATTAATTCTTTTTGGGGATTATTTATCAATTTAGTATATGTAATAAAGCGCAAAGGTCAGCATTGAGAGGTAAGGTCCATTTGGCATTTGTGATGGAATGACGGGGTCAATTTGGCATATGTGTAAAGAGCAAAGGTCAGTTTGGCATATGTGAAGGAGCGCGAAGGTCATCAGTATGGAGAGCTAAAGTCCATTTGATATTAGTGATGGAATACACGATCAATTTGGTATGTGTTTGAAGAGCAAGGGTCAGTCTGTCATATGTGTTAAAAAGTCAGGGTCAGTTTGATATCTGTGTGCGTCTGTGTGTGTATGTATGTATGTGTATGTGTGTGTGTATGTGTATGTGTGTGTGTGTATGTATGTGTATGTGTGTATGTGTGTGTGTGTGTGTTTGAAGAACATAGATTAGTATAATATTGTGATGAACTCCTGTACTGTGGCTTTTGTTTGCTTTCACTTTGACATGATTTGTCTTTCTAAAATATAAAAGATGAGGTACTAATATTTCCCGATGATACTTTTTAATAGATCTTTTCTTTTCTTTTTTTCATTCATATTTTTGAAAGAGTTAAATTAATTGTTTAATTTCTTTAAATTAAATTAATTATTTAATTTTTCTTATTGTTATATTTGAAATCATATTATCATTACTTTTTTAATAATTCTCTAAGAAGTAAATTATAGCTGGGAAATGTGTATGGTTTACGTGAAATACGTGTAATCAGTGGTATACATTTATCAGTTACACGTAATACAAATTTAGTATTCATTTAGAATATATGATTTTATTTGAACCAAATATAAACCAGTATGTTTTGTTTGATTTTAATTTAAAAAATTTGGAAGATTAGAAATTGATACAATATAACTTACTATTTCATCTCTTAGCTTTGATTTTAAATTAGAAGGAAATTTCAAATCTAATCAATAACTCTTTTGATGATTTACTAAGGGATTTGAGCATATGTAAAAGAGCGCGAAGGTCATTCTGACATATCTGATAGCAAGTGAAGGTCATCGTTAGTATAACGTTCTGATGACCTCCTGCGCTGTGATTCCTTTATTTTACTCGTGTTTTCATTTATATTTGTTCATTTAAGATATTCTAAAAGTTTGGAAAAGAAACACAAAACCATCTTGGAACCAACTTTCAGATGAATGATATGTACTTCATTATCTTTAATTTAGTTAATCCAAAAAATTGTTCGTATTTTATTCATGTTTTTTATTGTCATTTTTTTCTTCTAATTCTTATTTTGTTTCATTTTACGTTTTATTTCTGACTTTTTACGTTTACTTATTCAATTTGTCATTTTAATTTAATTTCGGAATTTGAAATCAAAACAAAAAATTGAATTCAATCAATAAATACCAAGCAAATTTATCATTACAATGGCAGAAAAGATGGGACAGAAAGGTGTTGCACAACGTTCCTTTCACATTCTTCTCATCATTTCCTTTTGGCTTCATTCGTCTGAGATATCTCAGGACAAGGGCTAATTGGTAAGGGTTCGGGGTTTCTGGTTGATTAATAGATAGCATATTGCCAGTGTGACTTTTCCTCATTGTTTCCCTTTTTTTTGTTCTCGAAGAACTTTCTAATCCTTTTCGATATATTTTTTTATTGTTATTAGAAAAACATTAGTTTCGTTTTCTATCTCATACTGCTGCTTAAGCATTTTTTCTATTATTTTT